GTCTAGGTACGCCCGTTTTGGGTGCACGTTGTCGTTCACATAAGAACACGGCAGCCACTCCTTGATTTCGATGGCACTTCCAGCGTACACATCAGACCACACTGGAGATTGCGATAGGCCCAAAATTATGTTGTGGAGCAAGCTGTGCCTTAGTAGGTTGCCCTCAATCTGATTGTTGACGACTAAAAAGGATTACACAGCCCTTCCTTGACCAGAACTAAAAGCATTTAAAGACTAATGTACTGTGAAACGCCAACCTGGTACATGTCGCCGTTCACATCAGAACAGGGTAAAACTTTCACAAACCTATTTACGGTTCTTTTCTTGTTCTTTTGCAGGAAACTGTCAAAGTGTAAGAAAAGAGCGGTAACTTCAAGCAACAACAAAGAAGAAGGAAAATAATACCATACAAAAAAACGCATATAAAAGAAATATAAATTTAAAGAGCCACTGTGTGCCAAATATGAAAAATTTTATTGCATTATCGTACTGTGCTATAAAAATATTTAGTGCGTATCCCGTGCCTTGATTCTGTTATACAAATAATTAATTAAAAAAAAAATTACATTTACTCTTGTATTGAAATGGACGCCTTAACAACCAAAGTTAATGAGCTCAATGGGGGTGTTAATGCTCTTCTCGAGCAGATTAGGAGGCTTGAGGTACGACTTAGTGGTATCGAAAGCAACGGTGTCGTTCTGGAATCTAGGCTAGGAAGGATTGAGTCTAATAGCGCAATTCTGGACCAAAATCTGGGTAGGATTGATGGACTGTTAGGTAGCGCAGAACAGGCTAGCATGAAAACGCAGCCGCAAGGGGTGCCGGCAGCGGTGCGAACACCACTATCGGAGCAGGACTTGAGGAACATTGGCAGACTCGTCCTTCTCAATACATCTCGTGGGTTCACAACGTCGAGGGCATTTTGACTGATTACGAAGTGGTCAAAGAAAAGCCTTTGTATCGCGCAATCCTTCAGCATGTAAGGCAAAAAATTCGGGGTGGAGCGGATGCAGCCTTGGTTGCGTATAACGTTTTTGAGAGTGACTGGACAGAGATAAAAAGAGTCCTTTCGCTTCACTACGCCGATAAGAGGGATATTCGCACCCTCGAACATCAACTTAATCAGTTAGCTCAAGGGAATTCGAAATTGGATGAATTCTACGCAACTATTAACCACCAACTCTCGCTTATTGTAAACAAAATTAAGTGTGACGATTACTCTCAGGAGACAGTATCAGTCCTTCTGGAAACATATCGAAACAGAGCTCTAGATGCATTCATCCGGGGTTTGAGTCCTGAGTTGTCTCGCATGCTCATCGTAAAAAAACCAAAAACATTGCCGGAAGCTTACTCAGCTTGCCTGGACATTCAGAATTTGACGTTGCGAAATACGATAGTTCACACAGGCTCAATGAACAGAGTCGTTGTCCCAACGAATATTTTATCAACACAGAGGCCACCGCTACCGCCACGCGCACGCT